GTTAACGGATTATCCGTTAAGAAAATTGAATAATCCGCCCCCAAACCGATAAGCCGTTAATAAAAAAATTTCAATCCGTTCCCCGTCCGTTAAACCATTAAACCGATACCAATAAGCCATTAAGCTTCGGTTTCGGTTCGGTTTTCGGTTTCGGTTCGGTTTTGAACACCCCTAGGTGTATGATGAGTGGGAAGACTATTTTAAAGTAGTATTTTAGAGGACGTGACAAATGAGATATGGGTATGAAGTTGCTAACTTTATATTTTTAATATGTGATTTTTTAGCGCGAATTCAGATTTAATTGGACTTTAATGCTGATATCGGATACCCAGCGAGAAACCAAAATAAGATACTATGACAAATGAGATATTTCTAAGAAACAAAATCCTCTAACAATTAAAATATTTAAATTGAAAAGTTGTAATTGTTCAAAGAGGAACATTCTCTCCAAAAAATGTTAGCTAGGGTGAATTTTTGAAAAAATAAATGCTCCATATACTTGGATTAAAATAAACGTTTGGGAAGTAATGTTTCATAAGTAGCCATTGCAAGCGATCACGCCCAACTCTTGTCCTAAAAAGGATAAGCGGTCGCTGCAAATATAATCCAGTCTAAAAGTCCGGAGTCGAATCCCACAGGGAACTAAGATTTAGCTACAACGCTTTACTATCACTAAGAAAACAAGCTCGAACAATTTCTAAGTTATAAATATTAAGATTCTTATGTCTAACTAATTAACTAACAAATTAAAGTAGTGAATTAATAAATAGGATACTAAGGGGTTGGAGACAAGATTAGAAAAACCTAGAGTTATGATTTTCCCAATTGTCGGAATCCTTCCCGCTACATCTCCTATAATTTTACCTAAGTATTCTCTATTGATCATGAGCACTCGGCTTATCGTAATTCTCTCTCGCAACTACAATAATGTACAAGTCATATTCTCTCGAATTACACTAGCTCGCACTTTTTCACCGCTCACTATGATCACGTCAAAGCTTCGTTATCTCTAATCCAGCTTTTAAACCTATCGTATTGATCTCTCTTATACCTTGGAGTGACGTTATTCGACAACAACCTAAATATGCACTTTTTCTCAAGCAATACATAATAAATAGGTGATGGTAGGCTATAATCTCGTATTTTAGTCGCTTATTGCACTCGAATTACTTTAATTGTTTTGAGCTTTAATTGTTAGTGTTTTGCACTTATTGGATATTGTATGCCTTGTAGGAGCGATTCCGAGTTATGTAGATATTGTGGAATTAATTCGAGCTATTTGGAGCTTTGAAGTCTGAGTAAAAACCCAAGGGAGTAAGCTGGGATCGTGTCCGGGGGTCGAGGATCAATTCTGGGCGTCAAAATTCAAGGAAGAAGCAACTGCTGAAGAAATGCACTAGTGTGACACACTGTACGATGCATTAGTGTAATTTTATGTCAGAAATTTCTAAAGTTCAGAGATTGAGTTTTTTTGGTCTGACAGAAAAAAGCACTAATGCGCCGTGCGACGCATGAAAAGCAATAAGTTTGCAAGTTTTTCTATTTCGGTTAGGAAAGGGAGATTTCGCCTAGGCCCAACCCTACTTGGTATAAATATATGGAAAAATGTTAATTTCTTACTTAGGACACACTTTAGACCTAAGAAGACTATTTCTGAAGGAGAAAAGACGCTGGGAATATTCTTTGGAGGAGAAAATCATTGAGTTCTTCATTCCTTCATCTTTTTTTTTTTGTAATTTGTTTATGCAAAATACTTAGAAAGTTGTTACTACGAACATGAGTGGCTAAGCACTCTAGTTTCTAGGGTTGTGGTTGACATGATTATTAACGTTTATTAATTATATCTTCGTTAATTCGGATTATCATCTTATGGTTATTTCTTTAATTCTAGTTTTAACTTGTGAATTGTAGTAGCTACCAATTCACCCTACTATCTATGCTATGCTTGAAAAAGCCGTATTTAGATTAAAGTATAATTAAAGAGAGCTTGTTTCTGAACCCATGGCTCGGGGAATGATTTCACGGTTAGGATAGGAATATACCTAACAGTCTTGCTTAGTTAAAAACCGTATTATATTCGTTCGTGATAGACTCAATACCATAGGAATATATGATTGATATATTGTGGACAAGCGAGTAGTATTGTGGGAACATGCTATTCATATAAACGATCCGGTCAATTAGCAACCATTGATAATCTGGATTAACAAGTGTGATTATTGAACTTAATAGGATTGATAAACCGACCACAACCCTGGAATCTTCATCTCCTCTGAGTAAAATCCAAAACTCCCGTTTGCATCCATGATAAATTAGCTAATTACTTTTTCAATATTTGCAAAAGTAGTTTAGTAGATAAACAACATTGTTGATTATCTTGGATAATTAATTGATTTTAGTTTGCTTAGTTAATGATTCATCTAAATCTCTGTGGGTTGGACATCCGGCTTTGGAGTTACTTTATTACTTGACGGCCACGTATACTTGCGTGCACTTGGGGAACCAACAAGTTTTTGGCGCCGTTGTCGAGGACTTAGTATTGATTGTTTATTTAAGTTAAGCTTTTATTCGTTACTTGTTCAAGTTTTAATTTTTAGTTTGCTTTATTTTTGATAAGGCATGCTCTTCTCTTGAATGCGAAGGAGTAGAAGTGCGAACAACCTCCTTCCTCATAATCCTGAAATAGAAAGAACACTTCACAGGGTAAGGAGGGAAGTCGAAGCCAAAACTAGAATAGAAGGAGAGTTAGGCATCATAGTTCAACCTCAACTACTTAAGATGGCAGGTAATGAAGAGCGAGTAGTGATCGAGGCCGCAAGGCCTAATCTTGCTAATATGATTCAGTATATAGTGAAGCCTGATATCACGGGTCACTTTGAGCTCAAACAGTACATGGTACAGCTGATTCGGTCCACAGGGAAGTATGTGGGTCTATCTCATGAAGATCCGCAACAACACATTCAGATTTTTTTGGAAATTACGGATACTTATAATTATCTGAATGTTTCTAAAGACACGCCCGACTAATGTTGTTTCCCTTTTCACTGCTGGGGGAAGCCAAAGAATAGTTGCAGAAGGAGTCCGCAAACTCGATCCACAATTGGGATGATCTAGCACTAAAATTCTTAATCAAATTTTTTCCCACTAAGAAGACAAAGTCGTTGAGGAGCCAGGTTCTTAGGTTTTAACAACGAGATGGCGAGACTCTTCGTCAAGCTTGGGAAAGATACAAGAAGCTACTCAGAGACTGCCCACATCATTGTCAGACTGATGAGGTATTGGGTCACATTTTCGTTGATGGGTTGGATGAGACATCAAAGATGAATCTTGACTCAGCATGTGGGGGCAGTTACATGGCAAGATCGTATAGTGAAATCCAGATCCTGCTAAATAATTTCACTGCTAATGATAATAATTGGCAAGGATATGGGGAACCACGAAGAGCACATACAACAAGTGTAACTGAGCTTGATGATTTCTCAACCATGAGGGCAGATATAGCGAGATTAGAAAATCAGATGAATAAAATGACAATGCACAAAGCACAACAAATACAGCATGTGCAACAGATGTCTGCTTGCCGCGAGTTATGTGGGAAGGTCACACAAGTGACATATGCCACGTGAATCCTGAATCCATCTACTATGTGGGGCAACAAGCTAGATGGCCGGTGAATCAAAATGCTCAATATGGTAACACATACAATTCGAACGGGAGGAATAATCCTAACTTCTCTTGGGGTGGAAATCAAAATAACATGCCTCAAGCTAATTACAATCAGCCACCTAAACCCCCACAACAAGCAGAAGAGAGTTTGACTGACATGATGAAAAAGCTCTTGATAGACAATCAGAAAGTTATGGCTGAGAATCAATAATTGCGCACAAAGTTCAGAAATCTGGAGAGGCAGTTTGGGAAAATGGCTAACAATCAGAATATTAGACCTGCTGGAGCTCTCCCAAGTGATACAGAGAAAAATCCTCAAGTCAATGCAGTGACGTTGAGAAATGGGAGAGAGTCGGTAGAAGTGCCTAAGAAGAAAAATGAGCTATCTGGGCTCGAAGAAGAAAGAGGGCCAAAACCTGTAGAGGTAGATGGGAGAAACAAAATGGAGTCTGAGCATATATCAGAGAGGGTGCCATCCCATTTTCCTCAAAGATTGAGAAAGAAGAATGATGACCACATGTTTCACAAATTTCTAGATATGCTGAAGCAGATACACTTGAACATCCCTTTGGTGGACATGCTCCGTAATGTCCCAAAATATGCAAAATATATTAAGGATATAGTGGCAAATAAAAGGAGGTTAATTGAGTTTGAGACCGTCGCACTTACTGAGGAGTGCACTTCCAGGATTCAACATAAGCTTCCACAAAATCTTAAAGATCCAGGTAGTTTTACCATCCCTGTAAGGATTGGTGAAATTGATGTGGGTAGAGCCTTGTGTGATATGGGTGCAAGTATCAATCTGATGTCATTGTCAGTGTTCAAACAATTGGTCTTAGGAGCTCCTAGACCCACCACGGTGATGCTACAATTTTTTTTTAGGCAAATTATACTACTAGACATGTTGCCAAGTAGTTATTTTTATTAAT